TGAATATAGTGTTCTCGACAGTCAAATTCTGGGCCTGCTGGAGCATGCGGCTCCTGTCAGAAGCAGACAATAGGCTGGGGGAGTGGGCAGACAAAGGGAGCTCACGTTCACTTGGCGTAATCTTGGAAAGGAGTGAACTTCTCACCATTAGTTAAAGATATTGTTTTGTCTCAATTGCTAATGTCACCAATAAGGATCTTGTGGGAAAAAAAGGAAAAAAAAAAAACATTTCTTTCTTGAGTCTGACTACTTAGAAAACTGACCTGAGTTTGGAGAAAGTTTATTAGTCTGATGTCTTGAGACATTGTGAGCTAGTCTAGCAGTCATAAAGGGCCACCAGCATGACCTCAAATTCCTACCAACTTAACGTATGAGGTTCTGATGCTTTCATGCAGAGATTCCTGACATACTCCTTTGAGTAAAGCCAGATTTTCTTTTTTTGTTTTTTAAATTAAGACATGACACAGAGAAAAATAAGTTCTGCTTTATGGACAAGTCCCAACTTGCAGGTTGTAACTCCAGTCTCTTTCTCTTCCAGTGAGTTGCAGCTAGTGTTGCATGAACACTTGGTGACAGAGTCTGGGCATGTTACTCAAGGTATGGCTCATGGGCCAGCAAGTCTGGTATCACCTAGGAGCTTGCTAAAATAATAGAATCTCAGCGCCCTCCCAGATGGATGGAAGCAGAATCTACATTTTAACAAGATCCCTAGGTGATTGTCCTGGGCCTGCAGAATGTGGAGTTGAACTTTTTTATTCCTGACTCCATCACTGATATTCTTTATGAAAAAATCACTTACTGTTTTTGAAGAATCTTCATTTTTCTCATCCACAAAATAAAAAATACTTTTCATCTTCCCTGACAATGCACTTGTGAGTTGAGATGAGATAAAGTACCTAATGTGGCTATGGAAATCAATGCCCTGCTATTTTATGTAGGAAGATTAAAATATACACTTGAGAGGAAGGATAAAAATTGCATTGGAAACACTTGACTTTCAAACAAAATTCATTTATTTTGCTTCAGAAGATAAGGGAGGTGGAAATAATTAACTTGGCTTCAATTTCCAATGGGAGAGAGACAAGTGATCTTTTCTGCCAATCTTGTTTTCTTGTTTTTTATGATCTGGTAAGATATGAAAAAAATCTAGTGCTTTCTAATATTAAATGATAATTTAGAGAAATGTTTACATAACAAGTGAAAGGGAGATTTTGAAAAAATATTACATTACTGAAAAGCCTCTTCCAGGTACAAGGGTAGCCAGAAAGGGTGAACAAGCCAGCACTAGTCTTAGTATAGCAACTGGGAAGGACTCACACCTCTGCTTTGGGGTCAGGTGCGGGTTGTGTTTCATTTTTTTTTTTTTTTCCTTTTTGTCTTTTTTCATGTCCAGCAATGGATCGCAACCCTCAGTGTCGCACCTGCACCTCGCTCAGCCAGTGAGCGGGAACCAGTCTGTATGTGGGATCCGAACCCTCGGCGGGAGCGCCGCCACGCTCCCAAGCGGCGCACTGTAGCAGTGCACCACCGGGCCGGCCAGCGGGTTGTGTTTCTTGGTGCGCTTGTGCCCTTTGGAAACTTTTTGGTCCTATGATCCTATTTATTACCTGCTTCCATTGTCATTGGACGTTCATTTCATGACTCTGTGAAGACCTAAGTACCAGCCATTAGCAGCAGTAAAAATAATAACATGTCCCTGACTAAGTCATGGACTTGCTTGGATCACAGTTATGTCTCCTGGGTATTCAGTAATATGTCGCACATCTTTCAGATTATGATGCACAAAAAAGCCCATAAGGGCATTTTCTTGACTCCCAACATCATCATTTATTATTTTATTGTCTTTTTCTTTGGGGTGATTCTGGAATCAGGTTATTAGAGGTCAGACATAGAGTCTTTCAGTCTCAGATCCTCTGCAGGGAGACCATGGCTGAAAGGCAAGAACCTAAGTGGTAATTTGCCTTTCATTTTTTCCTGTTTCCTCTACACTTTAATCTTATCTGAACATACTTGCTCATTTCTGGATAAGTTCAAATAGAAAGGGTTTGCTTTTTGAACATTATATATGAATTTTAGGCAAATTCTGTATTAACTTTCAGTAATCCCAACAGGCTCACTTTACCTGTGTTAATTTTAAAGTTCAGTTATTTCTTGGAGGATCAAGTTACACACACACACACACACACACACACACACACGCATGCACCCAACATTCTCATAGCTAATGTCCCAAAGTTTAAGTTGGGAAAAGGAATGGGGGTGGGGGTGGGGAAAGGAAAATAGCTTCTGATATTTTTGACATAAAGGTTATATATTTTCATATAAATATATTAAATAATAATAAAATTGCTTACAACATGAATCCTATTTATTTTTTGTTTAGGAAATATACTGTGTGCCATGTTATTCCAGGATTCAAAAGTTATTTTTATCTTTACTAATTTAGTCTATTGAATCAGATACATGGTCTTAATATAATAATTTTTACACTAACATAATTACAATCTAAATGTATTAGTTGAAAATTATATTTTTTAATCATAATCTTTAGTAGCATGACTGAGCTACTTGGTGCCTACAGAGGCATATACATATTTATATAAATTTTTTGACAGCAGGCAGGTATGGGCTACAGAGGCATTTAAATAAACCATTCTATTTATCTCTGTTATATACTTGTTTGCTGCCTCTTGAAGTTTATTAACTATGTATTACTTACTTTAAAAATACTGTGGTATTGAAAACTATATATTTGGGTTTTATTCAAAGTAGAGTTCCACCTGGCCAGCAGGGGGAAAAAAAAAGGACATGTAAAATTACTGTGTTCTTATGTGTCTGAAAACTGAGTTCTCAATCCTAATGTCTTCCCTAAGGGTCAGGTGTCTTTCCATTTAATGTTTAAGATTTTATAATGTCTCCAGCTTAACCCCAGGACTGTGGCCAAGCTTAGTATTTCTGCTGTGTAAGTATCATCAGCTATCATGACAATCTCCTAAAAACCTACTTTTTTACACAGCTTTTTTGAGATATGTTTTACATACCGTAAAATCCACACATGAAAATGTACAGTTCAGTGTTTTTTTAGCATATCCACAGCGTTGCACGACTGTCACCACGGTCTAATTTGGGAACACTTTCAGCACCACAAGAAGAAAGTCCTGCACATACCCTGTCCTTGCCCTTCCTGCTCCTTCCCTCGCAGCACCAGGAAACCACTATCCTACTTTCCATCTCTGTGGATTTGCTTACTCTGCACATTTCATATAAATAGAATCATACAGTGTGTGGTCTTTTGTGACTGGCTCTTTTACTCAGCGTAATGTTTTCAAGGTTCCTCCATGTTGCAGCACCGTGGGCGATTCAGTACTTAATTTCTTTTAGTTACTGAATAATATTCCATTTTATGCATGTATCACATTTTGTTTATCTATTCATCAGTTGAACATTTAGGCTCATTCTGCCTTTTGTCTGTTATGAATAGTGCTGCTATGAACATGTACAGTTTTTGTGTGAACATATGTTTTCAGTTCTGTGGGGGTGTGTACCTGGGAGTGGAATTGCTGGGTATATGGTGACTTTAGGGTGAGCATTTTGAGGAGCTGTCAAACTGGTTTTTAAAGCAGCAGCTCTACTTTTTATTCCCATCAGCAATGTATGAGGGTTCCAATCTCTCAACATCCTCGTCCACACTTACTGTTGTCTGTCTGTTTTATTTTAGCTGTCCTGGTAGGTGGTTGTCGTTTGCATGTCCTTAATGACTTATGTGTGGAGCATCTTCTCATGTGCTTATTGACAAAAGCCCATGAGAGAGAGAGAGAGAGAGAGAGAGAGAGAGAGAGAGAGAGAGAGAGAGAGAGAGAGATGCTTCTCTGACACCCAAAACCAAAGTCCCAGAATGGAATCTTCCTGGTCCCAGTCAGCCTGACCTATACACAGGCTCTTCCCTGAATCAACAACTGTGGCCAGCACAATGGGACTACCAGTGGCTTAGTCTAGTACATGTGTCCCCCTGGATCCTGCGGTGGAGTCCCTGGCTTGGAATCACATGGGCTGAGGCTGGCAAGGCGTGTTTAAGAAGGAGAGTAGAGTCTGTGTGGCAGGATGAGGAATGCTCACTCTGCTCAAAACCATAGACCACAGGCAGGTTTCTTCTCTCCAGGGGCAATTCTGGAAGGGACATTAAACAGTCATCTCAGGCACTGGTTCACAAACTTTAGGGTGTGCATTAGTTTGCTAGGACTTGCCTGTCCCACCATTGATTTTAGAAGCAGATGATTTGTCACATTTCACAGGTTAAAAGATGGACAGTAATTTTTCCCAGGATGAATCATTCCCTGAGTCTCACCAGTACTTGATTTAGATGATATTTCATTGAGATTTTGGTCTCAGAGTTGATGTTGAAATGGGTTAAGGTTTTGGAGATGTTGGGATGGGGTGAGTGTATTTTGCATGTGAGCAGGATATAAATTTGGGTGGACCAGAGGGTGGACTGATGTGGGTTGAACTGTGTCCCTCTGAATTCCATATGTTATAGTCCTAACATTCCCCAACCTCCCCAGTATTTCAGAATGTGATCTTATTGGGAGATGGTCGTGTTGCAGATGTAATTAGCTAAGATGAGGGCAATATATGTTGGGCCCCTAATCTAATATGATTGATGTCCTTATAAAAAGGGTAAGTTTGGGCACAGAAACATGAATATAGAGAAAGCACCATGAGAATATCGGAGTTACGCTGCCATAAACCAAAGAACCACCAAAAGCTAAGAGAGAGGCCTGGAGCTGTTCCTTCCCTAGTGAGTAAAAAAGGGACCACGGCCCTGCAGTAACAAAGCACCGCAAACTCAATGGCTTAGACACAAACTTTATTGTCTTGTTCTGGAGGATAGAAGTTCAAGGTCAAGGTGTTGGCAGGGCCATGCTTTAGTACTGTGGTTTCTAATATTCTCTCATTGGTTTTAACTGGGTTATTGCTATCGCTTTTTTTTTTTTCCTAGTAGAAGAAACAAAAACATCTGAAGATGATGAGATGGAGAAACTCTACAAATCATTAGAGCAAGCTAGTCTGTCTCCTCTTGGGGACCGACGACCTTCAACCAAAAAGGAGTTGAGAAAGTCTTTTGTTAAGCGGTGCAAAAATCCATCCATAAATGAGAAACTCCACAAAATCCGAACCTTGAATAGCACATTGAAGGTAAAAAAAAAAATTAGGTTGTGGATGAACTCTATGGATGTGGGGTGAAGAACGGCTGGTTCTGCAGAGAGATTTGTGCTAATCACAGCGTGTTTGTGTTGGTGGAGGGAAGGGTATTAAAATAAATATGTTTATAGGATGAGGTGACCTTTCACATTTTTAAAGCACTAGGACATTTGCACAGTAGCACCCAAGGTGGTTTTCCACAATGGGTCTTGGTTTTTACATTCACTCCAATATAAAATTCCAGATTTTAAGCTCTTAGCAAGGACCATGCGTAATTTGTTTTTGTAACCCTGGTACCTAGAATGGTACTTGGCTCAATAAATGTTGACTACAGAGATTGTCAACTGATGAGGATAAACAGAAATGTGAATAAGATTGTGGGTTTTCACCTGACTCATTCAAGAGTGCCATTCTTCTGTGCTACATCCAGAAGAAAATGTCTGGCTTCCAGGTCCAGCAAAGACTTAGTGACTGTCAGCTGTAGGCACTGCAGCCAAGGAACACCGTGAGAGCCGATTTAGAGCATGCTTTGTGGTAAACAGACCTGAAGGTATTTTCACAATGGGGATAAGGGAAAGTGTACAGGACATAGTGAAGCTATTTTCAGGACCTCCCATAACTAAAATGGTTCTTCGTAAGAAAAGCATTCTGCTTTCACATTTAGATTATAGCATGAACAGGAGGAGGCCAGGATACTTTGTAAAATAACCCTGAATTAGCAGAAGATTTATAGGTTCTGAAAAGCCTTGCAATTTAATTCTGTTTTGTTCATGTTCTTTTGCATTAAGAGTTTGAGTCCATTTCCAGGAAGAAATATCAGCAACTGAAAGGACGAGGCTACAAAGAGATGCCTGAGTGGCTCTTAGTCACATGTCCCAGTTAGTAAATAGAAGACCCAAGCACTCTAAACGGCTGCAAAAATGAGGCTGGGAAAGAAAAGGAAGAGTGTATTTTAATTATACAAAGGAAATACGAATGCAGAGAAATTCTCTAATATTTAATGATAAAAGATATCCTTGGATACTCATTCTGCAGTATGTACAGAGTTGATAAATATGTTTGGTCATTCAATGTAATAAGCCATCGTATGTTGGGATTTTACTGTCTAACTTGTCTGCGATAGCTAATATGAGTGAGTGAATGTTTTACTGAACAAATACTTCCCGAATCTTGCTATGCACCAGGCACTATTCTAGGGCACTGGGACCATGGAGTGACTCCACTGGGCAGTGGAAACAGAGAGGAAACCAATAGTTAAAATGCAGTGTGACAGGTACTGTGGTAGGTGTGTGCTCAGGGTGCTTTGGAGCACTGAGGAGGGAAGCGGGGGGCTGTCTGGGAGCAGCAGGGATAACATCATGGAGGTGCTGTCAGCAAGCCCGTGCATAAGGAATGGTGAGTGTCAGGAGAGAGGGGACGGCACGCAGGAAGAGGAACGTATAGCAGCTGACGACGTGTTGCAGTCCATGTTGGGAGACGCAGGATGTACAGGCCAAGGAGAGCACAGGCAGCTCTGGCCATTTGAAGAGGGAGAAAGATTGTGGCTTTGGGCTCCAGGGAGCAGCCAACTCAGGGTTCTAGGCCTTTCCAGGACCGTGGCCTGACCTGGCCACTGGGAGCCCAGGTTTGTGAAAGAATCAGAGGTTTTACCTGCCCCTGTGGTTCTGTGCAACCTCCTGCTCTCTGCACTAGAGCCACGTCATGGGTGAATTCAGCAGCTTTTTCTTTTCTCCAAGTATATTAATTGTCTCTTTCTAGGTAACAAATTACCCCCAAACTTAGTAACTTCAAACAATAAGCGTTTATTATTTCGGAGTTTCTGTGGGTCAGGAATCTGGGCATGGCTTGGTCAGGTGCTTCTGCCTCCAGGCCTCTCACAGAGCTGTGATCCAGGTGTCAGCGGGGGTCACATTCGTTCCTCCACTGGAAGGGATCTGCTTCTAAGCTCGCTCATGTGGCGGTTGGCAGGATTCAGGTCCCTGCAGGTTGTTGGGCTGAGGGTCTCTGTTGCTCGCTGGCTATTGGCTGGAGGCTCCCCTCTGTTCCTGGCCATGTGGCTTCTTCCTAGGGCAGCTCACAACGTGGAAGCTGGCTTTCCTCAGAGTGAGCCAGACGGGCATAGCAAGATGGGTCAGAATGAGCAAGATGGGTCATAGCCCAGTCACAGTAGTGACATCGCATTGCTTTTGCAGTGTTCTGTTTGGTAAAAGCAAGTCACAAGATCAGCCCATATTCAGGAAGGAGATGACACAAGGACATGAATGCTGGGAATGTTGGGAGCCATCGCAGGGGCTGCCAACCACACCCCGCTGAAGAACTGCTCTCTGGAAAGCAGCCGTCCCCATAGATCCCTGAGGCCTCCAAAAGTGTTGCGCCGGGGCCATGAAATATAACCTATGCCATGTGGTTCTATTAACCTCAGGAGGCAGGAGGATGCGATGACATGGAAATTGGCCTTGTTAAAAAACCAAAATGAAAACAAGGCATATCAACCTATTCAATGGAGAAAGATAATTTGGTACATGTATGCTTATTCATGTCAAAAGGCTATAATAATCCTTTTTTTTTTTTTTTTAGCTATTTTAAAAATTCAAGACAGGATAGTGGTTGTCTTTGAGGAGGAGGGGATGATATGGTTGGGGGCAGGGAGTGGTGCACAAACGGAGGTGCTGAGTAACTGGGTAGGGTCCTCTGTTGACCTCAGTGGCGGTTACATGGATGTGTTCACTTTGTGATGATCCATCGAATGCAAACTTTTTCATTTGTGCACTTTTCTCCATGTATGTTACATTGCAATAAAAATGTTTATTTAGAAAAATAAAAAACCCTTCAAAACTGGAGCATGGACAAGAAAAGACAACAGTTTTATGCTGAAACAAGGAAATTGTTTTAACAATAATGTTTATATTAGTGATAGGTGCAGTCCATAAATAAAGAAAAATCCCTTCACTGGGATTGTTTTGGAATGAATGCTCTCTAGGGAAATTCTTCTAGGAAGTTGAACAAATTATCATGTCCTACACTAAATCTAGATATCGAAGAAATTCTGGCAGCTCAACATTCACTGGCTTTTGGCTAAGCCCACATTTATTTTAAAATGAATGATTAATGGAATGATTAGCGGGTTCAACTGAAAGTCTCTCAGAGTTACTCTGGCTTCTGTCAAAAGAGGAATGAACTCTCCCTTCTCCGTAACTACTCTGTTAGGACACGTTTCCAATGCTTAGGTTTTGCATCCAGCCATTCCTGAATATTTGGAATAAAAATTGAAAGTACAGCATTCTCTGCTTCATGATCTTTTTGCAACCCCTGCCATACCTCGCTTGTCTGCCAGAAAGCAGGGTGGATGATGCAAAAGTAGGTGGATGATTCCAAGCCTTCCGTGAGCCTCCCGCACCCTCCAGGAGAAGCAGGCCCATGGCAGGTGCTCCAACCATGGTGGTGCCCGGTCTAGCAAGGAGCTCAGAAGGTTTTGTTGTCTCATTAACTTATTTCCTCTGTATTCTTGTCTACAGTTTTTTTTTTCTTTATCCACAAAAGAATTAACACAAATTTGAGCCAAATAGTAAGAAATTTGGTTTAAAGCCAAAAACCCTATGAGAAGTTGGCCTAATGGCCAAAATTGAAGAGACCCTTTCTTTAAAACTTTTTTCAGATGGAAAGGAATGGTTAATTCATTTTTAAGTCAATTTCCCCAATTTTTGTTAATCCTCAAAGATCTTAGTTTTTTCAATAAAATATTAAGATCTCCCTCTGAAGCAGATGTCTGAATTTCTCTAGAACAAAATAAAATGCCTTAAATAACTTCATATAAATAGCACTATGGTGATATCAGAGGATGAAAGCCTTTTTTTTTTTTAAAGATTCTTTTTGGAAGTATAAATCTTAAGAACTCAGAAAGAAGAAATAAAACTCTTTTGGCCCTGCCCGACTTTCTACAAACAATCCTTCTAGTTCCCACCTAACCTTCCTTTCTTCTCTTCTAGGTCTTAGTCCACATGCTTATCCCTCTCTGGTTACTTTCCTACAGCACTATTTTTTTCTCCTTCCTGGAAGAAATGCTTCCTATCTTTCTGTGTCTGCCTGTCTGTCAATCTGTCTGTCTGTCTGGCTCTATCGTCTTTCTATCTATGTCTGTATAGTTTGTTTATGGAGGAGATTTTCTCAGGCTCTAAATAAGGTCCATGATACAAAAGAGATTAAACATCAAATGGGTAATTAGTTCACTCATTCATGTGTACCATGTGTCCGTCATTCTTTCAGGCACTTGGGGATCTAGCAGTGAGCATATCAGACAAAAATTCCTGCCCTCATGAAGCTTACATGTCAGTAGGGAATAATAAAAACCATAATTAATTATAAAATTTTATAGTATGATATGTGATGATAGATTTGATAGTGAATAGGAAAGAAGAGGGGAAGGGAGTGTTGGGGAATTGTTTTTTAATTAGGAAAGACATGGAAGACTTCTTGGAAAGATGAAATTCGTGTAAAACCTAAAAAAAGAGAAGGGAGTGAGCTTTGAGGTTATCTGCGGCAGAATATTCCAGGCAAAAGGAACATAAATGCAAACCCCTTTGGGTGGGAATGCACCCAACACGTTTAAGGAAGAGCAAAGAGGTCAGTGTGGCTGGACTGTAGTGGGGGATGGGGCACGGGGAGAGCAGCTGTGGGCCAGAGGGGCAGGGGGGTCATGTCATAGAGGACCTTGTTGTCACTGCAGACAGCTTGGCTTCTACTCAGAGTGAGACAGGAAGTCTTTGAAGGTTCTGAACAGAGGCATGTCATAGTTTGACATATTTTCAAGGTAGAACCATCAGGATTTGCTGGTGGGTTGGTGTGAGAGTTTGCTCTGAGCAACTGGAAAGATGCAGTTGCCATTAGGTGCTTTGCAGAAGACAGTGGTAGGAGCATGCTATGTTGTGTACTGGGAGTGGGTGAGGGTGTAGAGGGTAAGAGGAACTTAGCTTTGGACATGTTATATTTGAGATGCTTATTAAGTGCCCACATGGAGCTGCTGAGGAGGAAGTTTAGACAAACAAGGGTGGTGTTCAGGAGAGATGTAAGGAGATAGAAATTTGGGATTGTCAACATATGGGGAAAGTAGGAGAGATTAGATAGGATTACCAGGAGAAGAGGATAAAGGCTGGAGCTCTGGGATCCCACAGTGTGTAAGAGGGTAGCTGAAGCAGAGGAACCAGCAGAGGGGACTGAGAATAAGTGGACATTGTGGGCTAAGAAAAATCAAGAGAATGTGTCACTGAAGCCACACAATAAAAGTGTTGAAGAAGGAGGAGTAGCCAACAGTTTTAGGTGCTTCTGATAAATACATCGAAGGTGGATAATTAATTATTATGTTTAGCAACATAGAGTTCACTGATGGGCTTCACAAGAGCAATTTTGGTGCAATGGTGGGGGCCAAAGCTTTGAGGGAGTGGGTTTATGGAAGAATGGGGACGGGGCATCAAAGACAAGGGGAAGGAAAAGTGGAGGGCTAGCTGGACGCGGATGGGGATGGGAGGGGACTTCTTTTAAGATGGAAGAAACAATGCCAGCGATGATGACTGAGTGGAGATGGGAAACCAGTGCGTCACAGGAGAGGGCAGAGCTGCTGGGGTGAACTTCTTGACTAGGAGAACAGGATCAATCGTGCCAACGTGGAGGGACTGGCCTTTGCTAGGAGCACAGACCTTTCATCCGTAGGAACAGGAGGGATGGCAGCGTACATTTGTGCTGATGCAAGTAGTGGACAGTGGGAACTTGGGAGAAGTACTCTTCTGATTGTTTCCATTTCCTCAAAACGTAGACAGCAAGGGCGTAGGAACAGGAGGGATGGCAGCGTACATTTGTGCTGATGCAAGTAGTGGACAGTAGGAACTTGGGAGAAGTACTCTTCTGATTGTTTCCATTTCCTCAAAACGTAGACAGCAAGGGCAGCAGGTGCAAGTGAGGACGGAGAAGAGAGGGATGTGGAAGTGTGATTACTGGATAGTGGCAAATGTCCACTTACTGGCCGTGGTCATGAGTTTAGAGTGAGACCCGTGAGCAGGGTCGTGGAGCTGCAGCTGTGCACACGCCGTCGTGTCTACTGGGCACTGGGCATTGTGTTAAGGGCAGGGAATCCAGGGATAAAGAAAATATGTTTACTGTCACCTTCCTTAAGCTTTAGAACAGGTGGCACACAGATCCCTAAGCATCTAAATATACCATGGAAGTTCTAAGAGGTCTCTGAGCACTGGGAGGAGTGAAAGCATTAAAATTAAAAAGCTTGTCAGTCCAATTGGGGAGATCTGGGAAGGTTTTCTGGAAAACGTGATGCCTGAAGACAGTATAGATTTATGAGTCATAGAAAAATGGGGTAAATGAAGGTTGGAGAGTATTCTGTGTGATACTAACTCTCGGAATTAGAGGTCCTCACGTGAGGACAGGTGAGGAGCATGCTCCATGTGGCACAGCATCATGAGGTGTGAACCAGCGTTGGGTGGGTGAAAAATGCACGTCAGCACTATTGGACTGGAAAGTCAAAAGGACGTGGAGTGTCCACAAATGGAGCCGAAGTAGTGAGGAAGCCAGGGGACCGAGGGGACACTGGAAGAGAACTCGGCATTACGTGAGTCCCCTGCATTGCCATGCGGGGGATGGATTTAAAATGGGGCTCGGAGGCAGGGACCTCACTTAGGAGGCTGCAGCAGCAGATCATGTGTGATATATTGGGCCGCAAATCAAAAATTAGGACTGTGGTCAAGGGACGGAGACAACAGGCACAGATTCAAGATAAAATTGTCAGAGCTGAATGATTATTATTATTTTTTTTAACGTGGAAGAATATGTATCTCGTTTTCCCCCCAATTCCTTGACTATAGAAAACTCTAACCTGAGCAGATGTTTCAGAAATGTGTGTCGTTTGTCACAGAGGAGGGAGGGTGAAACAGTAATAATAGTTTGTTTATTCTATTAGCATTATTGAGATACATACTCTTCTAGTCTCTCTCTCTCATTTTTTTTTAATTTTAAAAGATGACCGTAAGAGGATCTTAACCCTTGACTTGGTGTTGTCAGCACCACGCTCTCTCAAGTGAGCCACGGGCCGGCCCTTCTAGTCTCTTCTTTGAATAAAAAGATAACCTGTATATTTATTCTATATATATTAATTAAATACATGTGATTTATTATAAATAAATTAAGATAATTTAATAAATAAGAAAATAAAAAAGATATATTTTGTGTTACCTTATGTCTTAGGTAAGGTGTTATGTCCCAATTTTACTTAGTGACATTTGGATGGTTGGTGAAATGTTTATAGATACAATTATTAGTTTCCGTAGGAATGATGCTTACACTAAGATAGAATCATTACTGTGGTGTAGAGTAATGGGTTTATCAGGGAAGAGCAACATAGAAGACCATGGCTATACGTCTAGTTCTTCCACTAAGTCTTTGGTAGGATACGTAACTCCTTTGTGGCTAGCATATGGAAATGGATGTCCTGCCATCTCTCTCAGGCTCGAGGTTGGGATTAGAATATTAATTTGCAAAACATTTTAATAATTTTGTAATTAATGTGTATGTATGTTTGCAAAAGGGTTGATGAAGATGCTTTATTGAAATGAAGATACTCATGACATCTTCCCTCCCCACCTTTTTTCTACTACATGGACAGTGTAAAGAACATGACCTGGCCATGATTAATCAGTTGCTGGATGATCCAAAGCTGACAGCCAGGAAATACAGAGAGTGGAAGGTGGTGAACACCCTGCTGATCCAGGACATCTATCAGCAGCAGCAGGCCACGCCTGCCCCTGAGGGCAGCCCCCAGGAACTCAAGAAACCATCTTCTTCTGCCTATGTTGAAAGTTCTATTTGAGAAAAAGCCCGGATTCTCTTATATTTTGCCACAAGCAACTCTTCAAGATATTTCAAGAGCTCACATTTTTCCTTAAAAGGAAAACTGAAGCCCAGTTCCTTGAGCGTCAACTCCCCCTCTAAAGTGCAACTTTGGTGGAAACAGTCGCCAGACACAGCAAGACTCCTCATTACAGCTGTAAAGCAACCATGAGAGTGGTGTGGTTGAGTTCAGTTGAACAGACATTTTTTGTGTTCCTGCTGGGAGCTCACACTGATGCTAGTTCTAGGTGGGATGTGAGAAATGTATCTTCTGTTCCTCGCTCTTAAGAGAATTACAACATTCTATGGACAAAAGGTCAAATTTTACCAGGGATAATTATTCATAGAAACATTCTGTTTTCCAAAAGAAGAATGTACATGTTCTAGCTGGTTGGGTAGCTGAGATCTCCAAATCATTTTCTGAGTGGAGGAATGTTTTCTATAGCAGCAACTGGAGCAGGACAAGTGTGGTATTGCAGAACAAAAATTCCTTGCCTTTGGACGGAAGGGTGGTGGTGGTGCCTTTTCTACTTGTTGAGAAATACTTCACAGAGTTGCACATGGGAGAGCCCAAGGAGGGGGCATGCTCTGTGTTCCACTCACTCCAAGGACAGCTTGATGTTTTCACACTTTCTGCGGGCTGGGGAACTGATTAATGTTGCTTTTTCTCATAACAGCTAGAGAAAACTATCTCATTACAGTTGGAGACCTCTGCTCCCTTGTAGCTTCCCTAACCACTGTAGGAGATAGAAGTCAATCCAGCAAAGAATGTGTTGCTTTTGTCCTTGGCTGTGGTGCCTGTACACAGTGTGAATATATATCCAGGTTTCCTGGGATTGATATTGACAAGGTGATTCTAGTGTCTGAATTGCTTTAATATCTTTACACAAAACAAAAACAAAAAACCAACGAAAACAACAAGAGTTAAAACATGATTGTCTTATTTTTGTATGTTTATGCGTCACTTGGTGTGCTACGTGAAGAGCTATCTACGATGTTTGTTATTTAAATATATTTATAGAAGTTCAAATTACTAGTGTTTTAAAAGATTATATACTATTATATGTTTTGCTCAGTATATATTCTTGAAGTATATATGTTTTGCTTGAAAAAAAAGGAATACTTTTGATTCATTGGAGTTATTATGTTGTACTATGATATATGAGGAATGCTCAGGAAATCTCGTGGGAAAAATATGGGGGCATGCATTAATATTTTTTTAAATTTTTCTGGTGCCTCTCAATCTCTCTCTTTCTCCCCCCCACCTCAGAGATCTTAGACATCTCTATCAATTGTAAGCACTCTCTTAACGAGAAAAGGACTTTCCTCTTTGCTTATCCCTTCTATTAAATACACTTGAAGCTTTATCCCATTTATGCCCATGAACACTAGAACAAATGGCGCACAAATAATGTAATCTTTAGACTGAAGATGAGGAGAAATTTGAGGGTGGTGGTTGAAGACAGCT